TTTTAAAGCCTCCAGTTAAGTTCCTATCTACAGTACTTGGCAAAAGTAATCTTCAGTTTTCGGGAATGAATATTAAACTGACCATCTCAACATGCAGCCTCACATTGATGAATATTGACAACCAACAGGTAAGATCATGAATGTCATTTATAGTTTAACATATGTATTTTTCTAGAAGAGTCTGCGCATAATAAAGAAAGTAAAGTTTCAGAGTGTGCCTTAAATTTAATAAGGCACAAGGGAAAAAAATCTGCCAAGGATTTATGCATAACAATAATTAGAACAACAGTATCATTAACCCGTCACTGGCATTTAACTGCTTGCATACTTGCCTCTACCTAATTGGCTGTGTAATAGGGACTAAGGTGCAAATAACATTGTAAAAACCATTTGACAAATCAAATTCTTGAGTCGGTTGTTTATTACTTTCCACCAGTGCTCCCCAAAGAGAAAGCAATTCCATTTTCAGAACTAACAGACTGTGTGTTGGATGGATGGTACAAATGAAGGACAGAGAGGAAGGGTGATGTTAGGGTGAATAGTCTAGCAGACTGAAATTTAAGCATAAAACATTTTCTTCCAACTTTTAAGGTTGAAATGCTGTGTAAAATGTTATTACATAAACACGGTTTTTTTTCTTCTTTGATGATTTATGATACCATGGTATGCCTGAGTTCTCATTGTGAACCTTATTTCTCAAAGAACAGCGTCACTGAAGCAAATATAGAAGATAAACAGGCACTGGACTAAATGTGTACCTTCAACTAGGGCACTGTTTGACTTGCTTTCTTATTTTTTAAGCTAAATTCCATATATCAGGTTATTTATGTGTGTTAGAGTTTAATTCTTCTTGGTCTAATATGTTGTGATTCGAGGTTCTTAACATTTAAGGTTTTACTCTATGGAGTACTGTTGATCAGGGCCTCATGGAAGGTTGAATGTGTAGTTGGCTGTGATAAAACACCATGGAGCTTAGAGGTCACATGTAGGTTGAAATCCTGGCTCTGCCACTAACAAACAAGTTACTCTATCACTCAATTTTCCCATTAGTGAAATGACATTATAGTACCTATTCACAGAGTTTCTGAAAGGATGGATTTAGCAATAGTATGTAGCATTGGGTTATTTAGAGGATTAAGTAAGATCATCAATGTAAATCACTTGGCACAGTGCAGTACCTATTACTATTATTTACTCAAACATTTTTCCTATTTCCTTGAGACATTTTCATAAACTCAGTGCTTAACAGGGAAAGCATATTTTAAAACATAAAATTATAAAATTTTCAGTAACATATAAATACAGTTATATACATTTTTGACTCCAGTGTTTTTGCCAAAAAAATTCACTTGCAGTTTTGAGGGCTGCTTTGTTTTCTAAGTTCAAAAGCAGAGTAAAATATATTGCTTCACAGTAGTATAAAACTCCATAGGGGAAAATGCTTAATATGAAATAGTTCAAAATAAATTCCTGTCTAGCTGGGTCCTGATTGGTTATCCAAGAGAGGGGATACCATTGGTATGACGACAGCAGAACATTTGAGGCTGTGCTTGGAAGATGCAACAGATCTATGTGGAAGGGAAAACAATCAGTCTTTCAGATGCTTTGCCCATAAGACGTTTGTAAATGTAAAATTTATTTTTAGTTTTCACCCATGTGTATGGTACCAAGGGTGCTTATTGCCTTGAGCTGTGAGATCTCATTGAGTATAGAAGCACTTGCATTATCTCAGAATTTTGTAGGGGAGGAAGAGTAAGCAAATCTACAGCCATCATGGTGACGGCCTTATGCGCAGAATATAACTAGCATTTAAAAAAAATGGTTCTTGGGCGCCTGGGTGGCTCAGTCGGTTAAGCGACTGCCTTCGGCTCAGGTCATGATCCTGGAGTCCCGGGATCGAGTCCCGCATCGGGCTCCCTGCTTGGCAGGGGGTCTGCTTCTCCCTCTGACCCTCCCCTGTCTCATGCTCTCTCTCTCTATCTCATTCTCTCTCTCAAATAAATAAATAAAATCTTTAAAAAAAAAATAATAAAAAAAAATGGTTCTTTCTATGGGGTGACTGGAAGGAATGGGGAATTTAGGAAGAATAGGGTTGTGGTATGTGTGGTAGGGGCATAGTTTATGCTCATTGCTTTCTCTTCTACTACAACTTTTCTGGGCTACTGCAATTAGAGGGGGTATTGTCACATGCCCTTCATCCTTCTGGCAGAACAGAAGTAGGGACAGTGGGCATGGGTGGCTTCCACTACCAGTACTTATTGCAATGAGTGCCTCTGGAAGTGAGACATCTTTTCTGCACCGGTGGCATGGTTATGTGTTCAGCCCACTGGTGGAGTGAGGACCAAAGTTAGGATCTCATTGACCTCACACCCAGGTGCTGATTCTTAAAAATAATTGTGAACCATTCTGCAGGCCTATGGGAAATGGTTTGGTAGTGATGGTGATGCGGCGGGGGTGGGGGTGGGAGTAGCATAAAAACGATGTGCAACTGCATCTGCTTCACTCAAGAAGCTTTATAAATCCCATCAAAAGGGCAAGTAAAATGTTCAAGGGAGGAAGGCAGCAGAGAAGCGACCTTATAGTTGTACATGAGAGGATGATTTACTAATTAAGTTCTCCTTAAAGAAAGCTACCCTTTGAAGTTCTAAGATAAATACCAAGAAATAGTAATGCCTCCCTTCCCCGCCCCCCAACTTCTAAGATATACTTTGGACTGAAAACATAAACAGGTTCAAGTTTGTAGATACATTCATAGATGACAGAGTATTTATGGGTCACGCAGTTCACATTCATCTTCGGCCACTGAGAACAACTTCAGGATTATAAGCATTCACTCCCAGAAAATGTCTCAGAGGCAGAAAATAAAATTATATTAAACATGTAATGCTTGCAATTTTTAAAACTTACCATATTTGGGGATGGAAAATACATTTTGGAAAAGCAAGTTTTAGGGATTTTTGTGTATTTTAAAAATTCAAGCAACAGACTTGCTTTACATACTTTAATATGTTTTAAAAATTCAAGCAACAGACTTGCTTTACATACTTTAATATGTTAGGGACTTAAGCAAAAATGTCAGGCTCAAGAGCTCCCACTCCCACTATTCTTTACTCATATCTACAATCCTACCACCAACTCTAACAGCTAGTGAAATGATACTAAGAAGGGTAATAGAGATAAAGAAGGTAAAATAGGCAGAAAATGGAGACATCCTTTAGTCTCCATGAAGAGAGGCCAGGCAGGTAGTGCTTACTGTCCAGGGACAAGGAAAACAATGGTGCAAGCATAATGATACATGGTGAGTGCCACCTGGCCTCCATGTTGGGGAGACAACACTGGGAAACATGGCAGTGCAATACCTTCCCTACGTAAAGGGATATTGGATGCTTTTTCCCACATGACTATAGGTCAAGGGCTGCCAGATCTTCAACTTTTGGGGAAAAAAAAAAAAGATGGAAATCTGGGAGTTTTGCTGCACTCTCTGGGTTATGAGATGTTGGTCTTTAATTAAAGAATTAAAATTTGAAGCATGAGACAAACAAAATAGATCTGTGTCCTTAGGGCAGCCAATGTAGGACAATCTAAGCAAAAATTTATTATATGCATAGATCCAGAAAACTACACCCCCATCACCCTACATACTCACAAGGTTTTTAAAGTTCCCTCTCCCCATTCCGTATCTCCACCCTCGCCCCTGTTCACAAAATAAGGACCAGAATCTCTCTAGAACTCCTTTCTTTAGTTCCCATTAACCCAGATTTGAACCAGGTAGGCTGGTTCCAATACGTGTTAACTTTAACCTTTAAAACAAGTGATTTTATGCTTTTAAAAGGGGTGTTAAAATGCTACCATTTTCTATCTTCAGTAAATACAAACAAGCATTAATTTCAGTAATCTCTCAGTTTACTATCCATTTTCCCAAGACCAATGAACCAACCATCGGGAGGGGTGCATTGTGGAGTCCAGGTCTTTCTCCCCAACGTGAGCCTTCCAACCCAACAAGGAGTCATTTTCTTTTCTTCTCCTCTTGCTCCCTACTCAGTCCCGGAGAGGAACCTAATCACACTTCCTGGTTTGAAGACCAGTTTTTTTTCTATTTCCTGACATGTTTATCTGGAGGTACATGCAACTGGTTAGTTACCTGTGCCCTGGCGTCCTACACCCAACCCCAAATTCAGTTAATTCACATCATACAATTATCTATGCAGACTCACCTAGCTGCAACTAAGCTGTTTGAAAATGCAATGAAAGTGAGGCATGGGAGAGGTTAAGTGCTAACATCTCACCTCCTATTATTTCCCTATCTATTCTCTTACCAAGCTAGTATTTAAATAATTATCACCCTCGTCAGTCCTCTACTTTACAGAAAAGAACCCCCCTCCTTAAACTAAAAGACAAGATCACTGTAACATAAATAAGGCTGAGTTGTGATGTTGTATTGGATGTGTCCTTTACTGCCATAATGAGCAGATGGTACCTTTTTATTGATCACACCTACTGATACACTATTTTACTGGGCACAGCTTACTGACATTATTCTTACACAATTTCAGAACCTTAATAACCACAGCAACATGCTAATAGGACAGCTTTTCTCACCTGGCAAATTCTTTTATAGGAATTTGCCAAATTTAATACCCACAAGTTAATTTATACATCAGTTATTTGAAGCTGGAGCACTTTCCCTTATAGTGGCTATTTAAATCATAAAATGGTTTCAATAATAAAATAGGGGCGCCTGGGTGGCTCAGTTGGTTAAGCGACTGCCTTCGGCTCAGGTCATGATCCTGGAGTCCCGGGATAGAGTCCTGCATCGGGCTCCCTGCTCAGCAGGGAGTCTGCTTCTCCCTCTGACCCTCCCCCCTCTCATGCTCTCTCTGTTTCATTCTCTCTCTCAAATAAATAAAATCTTTAAAAAATAATAATAATAAAATAAAACAGCACAATACAATAAAAAGTAGTGTTTAAAGTATGTGAACAATACTATTGGCCAAACAAAATACACAGAACAAGAAATTTTATTATCTTGAATGCTGGTGCATAACCAATAACAAGCTTAATTAGAGGAGGAGACAAAGAGGGAAACTTCAGATACTGAGGTGGATTTCTGGGCAGGTTTAAAACTTTTAAAGGTGGAGGGCATAATTGTTCAGTCTTTTTTTAGATGTAGGGCTTTCCTTTTACTTGACATGTTCACTAAAACAGTTATGCTATGAAGTTCAACCAAAGTCTTTCACCTGTAAAGTTAAATGAAAAACAGAAAGCGAGTAAAACAATTTCTCTATTATGTAAGAGTATTAGAAATAGTTTGTTTTGTTCTTTCACATACATTTTAATGTCTAAATTTGAAATTTTATCATGGATGTCTTAATTTTTGAGTTTTAAAAATGGTTAAGACAACGAATTTCCTTGAATTACAGATCATAGTATCTTTATAAATGACCAAGATACATGTACAAAGTTTCAGATGCTCTTGAAAACACATTCTGAGATACAGCACACATGATACGTATTTCTTTTTGGGTTTGCTTCATACCCAATTTATTTTACACGAAAAATTTAGCCGTTCATCACTGGCTTGGACAGACCACAAAGTGGAATCTTCAGAGTTCTCTCAGTAGGCTTTCAGTCCAAATGATTCAGACATATTGAGTCCTAAATTGGATGTATTAGTTACATTTTCTCATGTAATTAATATCACTGGGGTCTTGTACTGGTAGTTTGTCTTGGTCGTAACTTATTCTTGCAAAACCATCCCTTACAGTGAAATGTGAAAGGTATTTTCTCCAATGCAAGGAAAATAATCTGGATCAATAACAAAGTCAAAGCCACAGGTGTTTCAGGAACATTCTTGAAAACAGATTTCCACAGTCCTAAGATGTGTTTTCTTCTTCCTTAACAATTCTTTTTCATAACTGTGCAGTCACTGCCCTATTCTATTCTGCAAAACAACAACACACACACAAAAAATTTTTTTTTTGAGGATCAAGTTTTTCATTGGCACGGTACGATCTGGATCTGGAATGAACCCAAAAGACAGTGGGAATGTTGGGTCTCTCCTCAAGTAGTTTCCTCCTCTTTTAACAGCACGTAATTACTCTCTATCAATAATCTCATCACAGCCGAGTTCTTCGGTCAGGCGATTGACAACCATAAGTGAAAAAAGCTCTTCGATAAAAGCCAACTGATCAAACGGGGTCTTCTCATAATGCATTTGAAACCCACCATCCAGGGCTGCTTCCCTAGCTCTGGATGTTCTCAGAAACATCTTGTTGGCTTCTTCAAGGGCCGCTGATACTCTGTAGCCTGCACCACTCAGCTGCTCCTCTTCCGGATAATCATAGTCGTCCTCCCAGTCATCAAATTCCTCGCCCTCGTCCTCGCTCTCGAAGTCAGGGCCCGCGAGCTGGCCTGGCTGCTCCCCAGGGCTGGGCCGGTTAGCAAGGCCTCGCTCCCCCTGCGGCTCCGCCATTGGCTGGGCCGCCTCCTCCTCCATTGGGCCTTCCTCCTCGAGCTGTGGCGGGGCCCCGTTGCGGGAGGGGTTCGGGGATGGCTCCCGGCTCCCGCTGCCTACCTCCATCTGCGGAAGGTCACCCTCGCCAGGCATCACATCCATCTGCAGGTCATTGCTCTCTTCATACAGCTCGGACAGCTCGTTCATTTCCGACATTGTACAAGCAGCTCAACCTCTCGCAAGGCGTTTTTGCAAAATCGGAGCTACGCGGACGAGCCGTTCTGCGCGTGCGCAAACGCCGTGCGCTTGCGTGACCCTGTGCGTTTGCGCGACCCCCAGACACCGCCTCCCGTTTGGCGTGCCCCTCGGGCGGGGGCTGCTCACTGTTCCGCGGGGAATGGTGGTCCAGCTTTCGATCCGTTCAAACTCCCTAGCTAGACACTCGGCCTATAAGAGAGTTACTTAATCTCCCCTTTCTTAACCGTTCCGCTCTTATGATGCTATAAACTTGAAAATACAACGTTTAATCCTCCTCCCCCTGCTCCTTACCCCTTCTGCTCTCTCCAGCTCCTCTTCCTCCCACCCCAGGCAAAATCGCTTCTGCTCCAAGGTGTTAACCCCCTTTCATTTGTACGATTAGGACTTCTAAATCCACACCTCCAAATCACACAATGTTCCCAACCACCGATCAAAATACTGAGAACTGATCCATTCAGCTCTTCTTCTGTTTTCCCCATTAAAAAAAAAAAGTTAAATTCACATATTATCTATCTCCTTAAAAACACATATGCTGAAGAAGTACTTGGTTCCATTTATTTTCGTAGGAGGTAACTTCCCATTGTCATAAATTTGGTGTGTATTCTTTAAATCTTTTTCCTTTGCATTTATATGGATCTTTATGTCCTCGTGGAAAAATCTTACTTTGTGTGTGGGTTTTTTGTTTTTGCATGCCTTACATAACTTCAATTACAAAACAAAAAGCCCCTCAGCAATGTCTTGAAGATTTAGCTTTGTTAGTGTACATAGATGAGTCTTTTTTTCCTAGCATTTCATTTGTATAGCTATACTATAGTTGACCTAATTATGCACAAATAATTTACGATTTTTCGATATTATAAACTATGGTTAAATCACATCCATATGCACCAATGTTTCTCTAGAACAAATAACCTACGAGTGGAAAGGCATAATTGTAGGGTATGTATACTTTAGGTTTTTTTTTAAGATTCGTTTTGACAGAGAGAGACACAGCGAGAGAGGGAACACAAGCAGGGGGGGAGTGGGAGAGGGAGAAGCAGTCCTCCCGCTGAGCGGAGAGCCCGAGGCGGGGCTCGATCCCAGGACCCTGGGATCATGACCTGAGCCGAAGGCAGACGCTTAACGACTGAGCCACCCAGGCACCCCTGCATACTTTAGTTTTAACACACAGTATCAAACTGCTCTCCAAGATTGCTCTCCTCAGCAGTGTTTGAGAATATCCTTGCCACACATGGTTTTGTTGAGCAATTTTATCAATTTAATGATATCTTGTTTTATTTTCCATAGCCTTGATTTCTTGGAGATTGAGTATTTTTCAATATGTTTATTGAAATTTGTGTTACTTAAGAAAATTAACTGGTCTTATTTTTGGTTTATTTCTTTTTGTTATTGATTTGTAGGAATTTCTTATAAACTATATGAATACTTTGTTTTACATGTTGCAAATATATGCTCCCTGCCTGTTGTTATTTGTCTCGTTTCACGGGTCTTTTTTTTATACAAAAGTTTTAAAATGAGTTTTCCTGTAATCAAATTGAAGGGTTTTTTCCTATCTTTTTCTTTCTATTAAGATGGATTTTCCTACTTCACAGATCACAAGCATAACTTTTTATTTGTCTTCTAATATTTGAATAGATCTTTTATGGATAAAACATTTATATAAATACTATGAGGACAGGATTTGTTTATATATTTTTTACATGTATCCAGCTAACTCAGCCAACTCCACTAATTTAATCACTGTCCTTTTGTTGGCTGTTTGGTGCCACATTTGTCATAGACTAAAAGACAATGAATATGTAAGTTTGTTTTTAGACTTTGTATTCAAATGAATTTCTGCCGTTTTATAGTATGTCTTGCTGATAAGGAAAATCTTCTCTCTTTGTTCTTTAAAAAATTGCCTTAGCTCTTTGCACATTTGTTCTTCCATGTGAATTTTAGAAGTAGCTTGAAATGTTACCTGAATGACATAGATGGAATTTTTACTGGAGTTGCGTGGAATTTACAGATTAATTTGGGGGAGAATCGACATCTTTACAATATTGTCTTCTCATTCATAGAAGTGATATATATCTTTCTACTTGTTTGTGTCTTATTTATACCCTTCGATAAAGTTTTCTAAAAAGTCTTACATGATTCATACTAGTTTTATACTTAGGTACTCTTGTAAAATATACCCCTTACCGCAATACAATATCTGATTAGCTATTGCTGGTATGTAGGAATGACAGTTGATCTTTATATATTGATTTGTTTTTAGTAATCACTTTTCTTTTTTTAAAGATTTTGTTTATTCATTTTACAGAAAGAGACACAGCGAGAGAGGGAACACAAGCAGGGGGAGTGGGAGAGGGAGAAGCAGGCTTCCTGCAGAGCAGGGAGCCCGATGCAGGGCTCGATCCCAGGATCCTGGGATCATGGCCTGAGCCGAAGGCAGACGCTTAACGACTGAGCCACCCAGGCGCCCCGTGTTTTTAGTAATAACTTTTAACTGAAATATAAATATAGAAATCACAAATATAGAAAAGTGCACAAGTTGTAAGTGTGCAGCTTGATTATTACAAAATGGACGTATTTGTGTAACCACTACCCAGATCGAGAAACACCATTTGCAGGATCCCAGAAAACCATTTGCTTTCTCTTCCTTTGCCCCACTATCACCATCATCCTGATTTGAAACAGAATAAAATATTTTTTCCTGTTTTTTTCTGAACTTTATAGAAATTAAACCATGCAGTGTATATTCTTTGTGGTCTAGCTTCTTTTGCCCAAGAAATATGTTCTTTGCTACATAGTAGTCCATTGTTTGAATATCACAGTGATCATCATTGGGATTGTTTCCAGTTTGGGGCTATTACAAACAGGACTGTAATTATCTTTCTTGAGAAGATCTTTGGTGCAGTATTCACACAATCCATTGGAATACAGCTAAGAGTAGAATTGCTTGACCATCTTATGTAAGCAGAATTGTGTATAGATTAGGTTAAACAATTCTGACGATGAGATTAGCCAATTGATGCACAGTTGGTATTTCAATGAACCTTCAAAGCAGTATGACAAATACTTCTCTGTAAATTGGTCATTACACTGTGGTTTCCAAACAAGCAAGCCTAAACTCTCAAGTGAAAGAGATCGTCTTCTTGGCTAACTAATGCAGTTCACTGGGATAGTCTACTTCATATTGAAAATCTTAATGTTAGGGCCTTAGTATGCTTTTGGTGGTGAATGACTAAAACCCAATTCAAACTAACTTATATAAAAATTAATAACTAAAATAGAAAAACTCATAAAAAGATAAAGGGGGAGGGTGCCTGGGTGGCTCAGTCGGTTGAGCGACTGCCTTCGGCTCGGGTCATGATCCTGGAGTCCTGGGATCGAGTTCCGCGTCGGGCTCCCTGCTCAGCAGGGAGTCTGCTTCTCCCTCTCTCTCCCTCTGCTTGTGCTCTCTCTCACAAATAAATAAGTGAAATCTTTAAAAAAAAAAAAAAGATAAAGGGGGAAATGTATTGGTTGAAGTGATGGACTAAATATTACCACCAGATTTTTTTTTTTTTTTTTTTTTTTCTCAGCTCTGATATTGTCCAGAGGGAAAGCTTCATTCTTCCATCAGGCTTTTCCCACATGGCAGCAAAAGATGGTTCCCAGAAGCTTTGGACTTAAACTAAGGCCCTTAATGGCAGAGAGAGGTGCATTCTTTCCTATTATCCATTTCAGTTCCTCTCCATGATATTGATTGGCTTTGCTTTATCCAGAGGGTAAAGTCCATTCTGATGGGCTAGACCTGGATCCCATGTCCAGCCATAAGGAGAGGGGCAGTGATATGGGCATGTCAAACCTACTTGAACCTCATGAGATTATTACAGAATGGGGACGGAGTAGTTTCCAAAGGGATGCTGAGCAGGCAAAAACAAAACATACAACTGTATGTCCGTTACTGTTAGATTGTATGTAACTAGGCATAATTAATTTGTAGCATCATCCATGTTTAATCTGTTTATGTTTTACAGATTATTGCAAATCATCATATGCAGTCTATTTCATTTGCCTCTGGAGGGGATCCTGTAAGTATGGACTCATGAAAGCTCTTTTTGTAAGAGTTAAAAGAACTTCCATGTAAAGCATGTTAGCCACCACATAACTTTTCCAGTGTTTTATTACAATTTGTGAGTAGCTCTGTACAATCAAAGATTTGGCTTTGACAAAATATTTTCTGTTACTGATTTTTAAAATGTTTGGATTAGTGGATGAGCTAATACTATTCCACTGTATTGTGAGTCATGGAGTTATCATCTGAGATTCTTCTCGTAAGTAACATCTAAGTCATGAAAAACAAATATGTCATACATGTGTTGCCAGTCACCCCTCAGCATTCTTAACAACACAGAGTTCCAGGCAGATCCTTTTAAGCAATGGATTTGGCATATGAGGGGAAGCCTAGTTGCCATTCCGGCTGTCAGCCAGGGCCACAAAGTCTCATCTAAAATGAGCAACCAGGTTTGCAGAAGCTTGTGGAGGAGGAAAGCTTAGCTAGCAGGAGAGAACTGCAGTTCCTTCCTCCCTAGAGGCCACAGCGTCCTCGTTCCCCATGAATTGTGGGAGACCGAGCAAGTGGTCGCTCTCCAAGCCTACTTTACAGAGTGAAGGGTCATTCCCTGACTCCCTACTCCATACTTCTGAACCAGAGCCGAAGGAGGGAAGCATTGAAGTTAGGAAGCCTGGGACTCACCAAGAAACAGATCTGTTTAAACTGAGGGGGAGAAGGAGGATTTTGCTGCTCCATGATACTGGGACATTTTTCTTCTCCCTGCAAACATATAGAAGCTAGAAGAGGACTGAGTTTGATTTTCGTAAGGATTGAACATCAGTAAGGTCAAGAAAACATACGGGGAGCAAATGGAGACCTTGTTCTTCCTGACAATGTATTACCTTCTTTTCTGTTGAGCATTTAATATTAAAGATTGTATCCTTCAGAAATGGGGGAATAAAATCCAGTACAATACTTGTTGTTTTTTTTTCTATCCACTACATTTAGTTTCTCACTTCCAATTGAGGAATCAAATGGAGGGTCATAAATGATAAGACATATAATTCAGAAATCTAAGAGAGGTATGGAACAGTAGTAAAAACTAAATCTGGCAGGTGATGTCACTGCAAAGTTTT